AAAAAAAAAAAAAAAATTGTCGACGTTCGAAATTGTCAATTGTCCGAAATTAGTCGGCTCGGACCAAAAGCGGATTTTTAAGGCGCTTTTCGAAGGGTGAATTGTTTGCATGTGTCACGCCAATTGTCACGCCGCAAATCAATGGACGCCCGCTATTATGCGCGTTGCAATTAATGGCATTCAGTCTCTTCGATCAAATCCCCATTAGAGTTTCTTCACGTATTAATTATTTGCTATGGGCACGGGAAACGAACAGAAATCCTTTTAACAAAATTTGCGAATTTGCTCTCGGGTGATTTTTTTTTTTATAGGTGAATGTTGACATAAAATCTCTGTCTTTCATAGAGCAAACATTGCGAATTTATAGGATAAATTTGATTTGTTGAAAATATGGCGATAATAACAGTAAACGTTATTACCATGTTGTACAATCACTGTGTACAATATTTTTTGATAGTGTACGCCAGAGATTAAAGATAGGAAATCCAAAATGTCGAGGTCGCAATAATTTTTAGTTATAAACAAAGGCAATCAAAGTTAGCCAATATTGCATCGGTATCGCGTAAAAAGTTCACGCTCTCGTACTCGTTATTATATGCGTATATTGATCTCTGTCGTTGATTATTGAGTTTCACAACTCAAGTGATATTGATTTTTACTGCCCAATTGATTTTATTTTAAACTTTTTTTCGAAACTATGCAACTACAATATCACAATTTTTATGAGAGTAGATAAGAGTAGCTAATAAAAGATTTAAATTATTTCTACTTATACATAATACAATAAATGTTATAATGAAATTTCTTAATCTTTTTATCTTCATATACTTAAAAACAAACAAACGACATAAGCGTTATATCGTTATTTCTTTCATTTTTATTCCTTTGATTTATTTGACTTTAATAGTGATAGTCTGGAAAATGTTGCTAATTTTTTTTTTTTAACAAACGGACTGTTATTAATTCAATCTAAGGAAAGGATATAAGAATTCCGGATTTAAAAAAAATTAAATTCTTAATGAGGTACGGCAGAAACTGATTAAAGCAACTTGGAAGAATCCCTTGGGGTAATTACTCATTTTGTAAGAACTTTCCACTTTGACTTTGCTGGAGAATTTTTACGGGCTTTTTCATTTTTATAATAAGAAGCCTGCTTTGTCTGCGATATTAAGCAATCTACGATCTTTCGTAGAAATACCATACACAAAATTTACCCTGAGAAATTATTTCTCTACTACTGCTGGATTTTGATATCGCTGTAATCTTCTATTACTTAATTAACTTGATGTAGTTATAAATTATAAATTTGCATGAGTAAGATAAATTAAAAATTTAAAATTACATATCGAATAATTTTAAATAACAATTCTATTTACATACATGGGAGAATCTGGAATAAACTTACGTTTGAATCCAAACGTAAAGTTTAATTTTCTTTATCACAATTTACATATGTATTACATATATCTGTTTTTTAATATTATAAATTTATAATTTGTACTAAAAAAACAAATAGGCAATAGGTTTGTATCACGATATTACATATAACATACGTCACTATATAAATGCAAGATTAGCTTCCAAAAAATAAAAAAATTTTGATGTGTTTCCGAAGTTTTTTTCTGCAAGTCCTTTTGCAGTTTTTACACAATTCTCAGCGTCATGAATTATTTCGAGTCAAAAGATAATTGTTACGCATTACGCATTTCATTTTCTCTGTCCGTTTCGACTGTAATACAAAATATTTTTCCACATGACGTATTCTTCATAAGCGAAAATGGCAACATGGCAGGAATAGAATTTAACATTACTATGCTAAAACTACGATACAACCGTGCGTACATCGTTCACACAATTACAGTTAGTTGTATCCTTAATCCCGCTGAATAAATTCTACAACGGTTCGACAATTTGAAGGGGAGGAGAGGGTGGAGGGGGTGGGGGGGAAGGGGGAGCGAACATCGAGAATCGTGGAGAAACTTGAAACTGTAATTCTCGGTTCCTCCTGATTGCTGTTTACGGTTAGTTTTCCTTGTCGAATAATAATCTTATTGCATACATTTTCACACGAAGATATATTATTTCGTTCGCGAAAGTTTGAGTGCCCGCCCAACTCGCAATAAATCCGAAGTAGTTCTTGTTTTAAAAACAAAAGCGGAACGAGATCCTTTAGCGTAAGATGGCTAAAGTGCCGACGGCATAACAAATCGAACGACACAGAATGAGCCATTCGCAGTTGCGAGTATTGATTTAAAAGCTAGTGACAGTCCCGAATAACACTCTTGAGTATGCTGTCTGCGAAACGTCCGAACAAACTTTTCCACTTTTCTACGTTCAATGTATATACAATCCAATTTCCACCGTCAGGAGTTGCGAATATTTCGACGTAAATAGACGCCAAGTTTAACTTGTTAATATACAACTTTTTC